ACACACACACACACACACACACACACACACACACACACACTGATGTTACAGAGAAATGTTGTCGTTCATTCACATCACAGCTCAAAAACTCCTCTCCTCACACGTTACAAAGAAATCATGTCTGGAGGTTACAGTGTGGCTCTTTATTTGCTCAGTCTAAAGTGAATTATGTGAGAATGATTGTCCATAGGATGCAAGAGTTTGCCATGCATCAAGTTTTATTACTGGCAGCCTGAGTAAATAAAATAAAATTATATAAAAGATTCTTCAACACAAATGTGGTGTTTCACTCAGGAAAACCAAGCTTTGTATCAACGTTATTCTTAGCCCCCATGATACCATGCATGAATTATAGATGCAGCTTCCAGCGCTGAACCAGAACAGATGTTTTCCTATCATAATGGTACGGAACGGTACACTAACAGTTTGCTAATCCTCTTTTCTGGAGCGATTTGGAAATAAAACATGGAACACACCACCTGTTACACTTCAGACCTCGGACAACTTGATCATACCTCTGTCACCTCAGACTGCCATCTCACAGCATTTATTGTTGTTTTCCTTTTTACCCAAGTGTGTTTGGGTCTCACGTAGGGTTGCCACTGTCCCATATAATACGGGACCATCCCACATTTAAAATATACTGTCCCTTACTAAATCAATACAGAACACAATTTGTCCCTTATTTCTGTGCACACACTGCTGCATAAACCATGTTTTCATGTACTGGGAATGACATGAGAAATATTAAACCAAAAGAGTTTCATGGAACATAGCAGAGAAATATTAAAACAGAATTTGCAGAGGAGCGTGACACAGAATGGCAGGTCCGTCACTCAGCGTCATCGCTGCCATGGATACGGAGACTCCAACACGCAGGACCGCCATTCACACGCTCACTGACACCCTGACTGACTGACTGACTGACTGACTGACGGAAGGTTGATGACAGGGAAAGGTTGGCGTAAGGACGTGATTGGGTGGTTGCCTGGCAACAATATATGAGACACACATACAGTACAGGCCAAAAGTTTGGACACACCTTCTCATTCAATGCGTTTTCTTTATTTTCATGACTATTTACATTGTAGATTCTCACTGAAGGCATCAAAACTATGAATGAACACATGTGGAGTTATGTACTTAACAAAAAAAGGTGAAATAACTGAAAACATGTTTTATATTCTAGTTTCTTCAAAATAGCCACCCTTTGCTCTGATTACTGCTTTGCACACTCTTGGCATTCTCTCCATGAGCTTCAAGAGGTAGTCACCTGAAATGGTTTTCCAACAGTCTTGAAGGAGTTCCCAGAGGTGTTTAGCACTTGTTGGCCCCTTTGCCTTCACTCTGCGGTCCAGCTCACCCCAAACCATCTCGATTGGGTTCAGGTCCGGTGACTGTGGAGGCCAGGTCATCTGCCGCAGCACTCCATCACTCTCCTTCTTGGTCAAATAGCCCTTACACAGCCTGGAGGTGTGTTTGGGGTCATTGTCCTGTTGAAAAATAAATGATCGTCCAACTAAACGCAAACCGGATGGGATGGCATGTCGCTGCAGGATGCTGTGGTAGCCATGCTGGTTCAGTGTGCCTTCAATTTTGAATAAATCCCCAACAGTGTCACCAGCAAAACACCCCCACACCATCACACCTCCTCCTCCATGCTTCACAGTGGGAACCAGGCATGTGGAATCCATCCGTTCACCTTTTCTGCGTCTCACAAAGACACGGCGGTTGGAACCAAAGATCTCAAATTTGGACTCATCAGACCAAAGCACAGATTTCCACTGGTCTAATGTCCATTCCTTGTGTTTCTTGGCCCAAACAAATCTCTTCTGCTTGTTGCCTCTCCTTAGCAGTGGTTTCCTAGCAGCTATTTGACCATGAAGGCCTGATTGGCGCAGTCTCCTCTTAACAGTTGTTCTAGAGATGGGTCTGCTGCTAGAACTCTGTGTGGCATTCATCTGGTCTCTGATCTGAGCTGCTGTTAACTTGCGATTTCTGAGGCTGGTGACTCGGATGAACTTATCCTCAGAAGCAGAGGTGACTCTTGGTCTTCCTTTCCTGGGTCGGTCCTCATGTGTGCCAGTTTCGTTGTAGCGCTTGATGGTTTTTGCGACTCCACTTGGGGACACATTTAAAGTTTTTGCAATTTTCCGGACTGACTGACCTTCATTTCTTAAAGTAATGATGGCCACTCGTTTTTCTTTAGTTAGCTGATTGGTTCTTGCCATAATATGAATTTTAACAGTTGTCCAATAGGGCTGTCGGCTGTGTATTAACCTGACTTCTGCACAACACAACTGATGGTCCCAACCCCATTGATAAAGCAAGAAATTCCACTAATTAACCCTGATAAGGCACACCTGTGAAGTGGAAACCATTTCAGGTGACTACCTCTTGAAGCTCATGGAGAGAATGCCAAGAGTGTGCAAAGCAGTAATCAGAGCAAAGGGTGGCTATTTTGAAGAAACTAGAATATAAAACATGTTTTCAGTTATTTCACCTTTTTTTGTTAAGTACATAACTCCACATGTGTTCATTCATAGTTTTGATGCCTTCAGTGAGAATCTACAATGTAAATAGTCATGAAAATAAAGAAAACGCATTGAATGAGAAGGTGTGTCCAAACTTTTGGCCTGTACTGTATAACACACACTCAGAATAGATGACTAAACACTATGTCCAATGTACTCTGATTTAATTTAGTGGACACTTATGCGAATACAATGTATACCGAATACTGTTACATCAGCTTCCCCTCCGAAACTGGTGAAATGGTTGCACCCAATAGTAAACGTCTTGGTACGTCAGAAATGTACCTGTTAACAGGACATTTCTGTCGTCTTAATGTATATTTGACGCGTTAATACGGACGACAAAACAGACGTTGAGAACCCTTCCGGATTCCATAAGACAACAACAGCAGAGAAGCTAACGACACCAGAGAAGCTAACGCGGCGTATAAACATCGACAGACTGAATATTTATTGAACAAAGCTGCAGTTATATTATTAATAATGAACTTGTAATGTTTAATGAACAAACCTGCTCTGTGTAACCGAAGCTGAGGGTTGAAAACAGCGTCCAGTAGTTTACGCTGTCGCTCGTTCTCCTCTTTTGATCGACAAAGTTCCTCCTCGTACTCTGCTATCGTTCTTTCAAACAGCCCAAATATCTCTTCAGCAGCCGCAGTTAGTCGCTGCTTCACCAACGCTCTCAGCATTTGGACTTTAGACATGCTCACACTTTAAAAACACAACAAAGAGACTCTGCTAACACACTTATCTATCAGACGCCATCTTGTTCAAACAGTGTGACGTTCGCAACAGTTAAAAGTACAGCTTCCGGGGTAAATGAGCTTCAAAATAAAAGTCCATAAGTTTTACTCGGAATTCAGGGCTTACTCAAAAAAACAAACACTCAGGAGGATAAATGATTATAATACACTTATTCGAAAGAATGACTTTTATTGAAGTGTTCCAGTTGACTTTTAGTTTAGTTCATTTGATTTCAGATATGCAAAAAAAAAAAAGTAGTAGGCAACATGATGAAATCCTTTGAGTGACTTTATCAAGGAACTTTCCAGTGTATACCCTATCCATTAGTTAACTCAGTAAAATATTACAAGGATGGAAAAAGAGAAAGACAGTGATAAAATCCACACAGACCATGTACACAAGGACACAAAATTAAGATCACTTAATATTAGTAGACAGTTTTCACAGGGAATCCATAAGTGTAACATCAGAATGGTTACATCCAGAATTTAGAGGGGAACTGATGTTTTTTCAACCTGGGCCCAATTTTCCAATCTACTTTTGTCTAAATGAGTGATAGGATGTTCAATATTTGGTATTTCTCCAGTACGAAGCTAGGGCTGACCTGCCTGCAGCCTGTGAGCGCGTGCTATATTAAATAATAGGGCACTCAAACAACGTCAAAATACGTCCACTTAAAATGCATTTTTTTTTCACACAGATAGGCTCGGATTGTTAGTATAATTATCCGACAACATAACGGAAAGGAGAAATGAATGCCTGTGTTTACCTTTACCTGGATTCGGACATGTTCCTCTGCCTGTTGCAATTTTAGTATATGTGTCTGAGTGCCCTATTATTTAATATAGCGCGCTCACGGGCTGCAGGCAGGTCAGCCCTAGCTTCGTACTGGAGAAATGTCAAATATTGAACATCCTATCACTCATTTAGACAAAAGTAGATCGGAAAATAGGGCCCAGGTTGAAAAAAACATTAGTTCCCTTTAAATATTTTGATGGGCAGTTTACACAGATAGTCCATAAGTATAACATTCAGGAAATAAAATCAAACCTTTAACAAATAATCCATCAGTATAACTTTTCCAGAGCTGAGTGTTGCTCCATTGTTATCTGCTGTGTTAGTTGATCCAACCATTGGCAGATGATGATTTCTTTCTGATTCTTAATAGTATTGTTTTCTTGGCAATAGTTCACAAGTAGGGCAGAGCTGCCAACTCTTTTCCAATGAAAGTAGCTAGCACTAGCTACAAAAAGTTGCTTAAAGTCTCCAGATGACATCATATGCTTACATGGATGCTGATGACATCTTCGCAGACTGAATCACCGTGACCTTGATCTAATCCTTCCAGGTAGAAACTGCAAACTGTTGTGAATTGCAGTGATATGTGAATTCAGCAAACCTGCTTATTTCTGTTATTTTCAGCCATGACTGAAACATTTAAAGATACATCAATCAATCAATCAATCAAACTTTATTTGTATAGCACTTTTCATACATTAAAAATGCAGCACAAAGTGCTTCAAAGAATAAAAACAAACAAAAATAATTCATACATATTGAAAACTTGATCAGTTATCCACCCCATGACTCATACTACTGCTGCTAAGGAAAAATACAACCAACGAAGAGTTCCACATGCACTGTCTTTGTGAACCTGTAAAACCTCTGAATTTCAAGAGGGGACACAGAATGATACAGACGGACCCAAAAAAGACTAAAAATGGCATGGGAGCTAGGTAGAAAAAACGACTGTTTCTATCAAAGGAGTCTGGTGACTGTGGACAGCGACAGCAGCCAAACCTATCTTAGCCACATAAAAACAGGATCACCTAAACAATATCCACATCAGTTTAAGTGGACACTACATTAAAAGTTTTTTCAACACATAACCATGCTGTCAGACAGCCCTTTACAACTGAAAACTGATGCAGTTACATGATGCTCTCCTAAAAGTAACCAGACTCCACAGAAAGAATCAGTAATTTTACCTCACAGAACACAATGAGTCGCTGGTCTTCAGCTGCCCTTAGATTGGACAGTTAGTTTGTGTTGTTGTGTGGCTTTTGGAAACGACCTAACTATGCCAGTTCTCTTGTCTGCTTCTCCAAACTGGGAGAGTAAAGCTGATAAGACACAATTCCAAATGAAGGCTGAGTCATGAAGATCACTCAGCAGCTTCAGTGTTTTCCTATCATTATATTATGGGGGCACCCCGCCTCATGTTATTTATCCTATTTACACCGTGGCATATAATTTCTTTTTCTGAACATTTTATTTTCAATTTTTAATTTCACAAGAACAGTACAACTTATTCCCACTAAAACTCAACAATAAAAGATACACAGTTAAAAAACAAATGACAAACAAAGGGATGACAGAATAATTACATATGAATGAAGAAAATAGGAAATGTCAATAAATCAAAATAATAGTAATAAAGTAAATTACAAAATAAATAAATGTTTAAAGAAAGGCAACACAATCAAATAAATTCATTATGTTGTAACACGCTTGTCACTAAAATATCTCAACTATTGTATCTGAACGCTAACATAAGCCTATCATGGACGAGGTTAAAGGTCACAGCGAACCCATAGTTGATAAAGGTAGCTTTTCATCTCCAAGAGTATACAGTTCATCATCTCTGATATCCATTTCAATATAGAGAGGGGGAGAATCCGACTTCCAGGTTAATCCGATACATTTTCTGGAAACAGCAAGAGCAATGTCAATGAATTTCCTGGAACTCTGATTTAGTTTCAAGTTTGTTATGTTTCCTAGAAGACAGAGTCCTGGGTCTAATGGGATCTGTGTATCCATGATTTTGGTCATTATGTCGCATATATCATACCAAAATTATGTTACTTTAGTACAATGCCACGTGCAGTATAAGATGGTGCCCTCAGGAATGAAGCATCTTTAACAAATCATTGAAAATGTAGGTTTATGCCAATGTAGTTTTTTGGGGGTGAGGTAGAGCAGATGAAGAAAATTATAATTGACCAATTTAAGTCTGGCATTCACAGTAGCAAACAAGCTGTTCTGACATTGACACTACCTTGAAACTCTGTTACAGTGAAATGCCTCCTCCACCCTTGTCAGGGCAGGCAGTGCCATTTGTTCCCCCCAAATTAGTTTCAGGAAGGCTCTCAGTCATAAATAACAAAAGTGTTTGTTGGATAAATCATATTTTGCTTTTAGCTGTTCAAAGGACATGAAGATGTTGCTACTTTAACACTGTTCAGTGTATCTTATCCCTCTGTCATACCAAAGCTTAAAAATTGTATTATCAGAGACCATTGGTATAAGTTTGGTTTTCCACAAAGGTGTTTTAGGGGACAAATCATTGCTCACTATGAACCTCATACCACAATCTAACTTGGTGGACAGTGAGCGGGTTTTTGGTTTAACTGACAATACTTTTTGAATTCCATTTATAAATAAAATCACTTCCCGCCTCTTCATCAAGGTCAGGAAGTTCAATTTGTGTCCAGGGGGGCGCACAGGATCATTCAAATAAAGATAGGAGAAATTTCATTTGTAGTAGTAAAATTTTAGGTTCGGGAGTCGGAGGCCACCCATTTTATGATCCAACGATAACTTCTCTAGGCTCGCCCTGGGTACTTTATGATTCCAGATGAATATGATTATGTTTTTGTTAAGAGCTTTATAGAGACTATTAGGCCTATAGGAGGAGCATTTTTGGGGGTCTTTGTTTTTCATATGAATAACCATTATTGAGGCCATAGAAAAGGAATCTGGTCGAGTTTGAGTTTCTGTTGCCAAATTCAAAACATCTTTAAAGAGAGGGACAAGCAGGTTTTTTAACTCCTTGTAAAATTCAGGAGGGAACCCATCTTCACCGGGTGATTTATTAGACTGTAATGAGGAGATGGCTTTTTTGATTTCTTTTTGAGTGAAGGGGGAGTTCTTCTCCTCCTGGTCCTCCTCCGTTAAGTTTGGTAGTTCAATAGTTAATAGGAATGTATCAATTGTGGCAGGGTCATCTGTGGACTTTCATGTATAGAATGCAGAATAATAGTGTTTAAAGCAATCATTCATTTCTTTCAGGTTTCTTGCTACAGTCCCATTTTCAGTTTCTATGGAATTAACAATTCTCGATTTCTCCTCCATCTTCAACTGCCAAGCCAAGACTTTCTGCGCCTTTCCCCCAATTCATAGCATCTGTGTTTGGTTCAAAGAATATTTATTTCTATTCTGTATGTGTTCAAGAGGTTATATTTGAGCTTTTTGTTAACTCAAGTTTAGTAGGTCTCCCTTAAGCATGACACATGTTCTTTTTCCAAATATAGGACTTCTTTCTCAAGCTCATTCATTTCAAGCATGTATTTTTTCTTTAAACCATTGGTATAAGAAATTATCTGCCCTCTTAAGAAGGCTTTCATTGTGTCACACAATACAAAGCTACTGGGGGAAGAGGCACAGTTTGTTTCACAGCTTCTTTGAGCAAAGTTGGGTTCAGCTGCCATGTATATGGTCCCTGGATTTTTTCAAGTATAAACAATGAGAGTGTCAGTGGGGAATGGTCTGGCATGATCCTCAAAAAATATTCAGTTTCCATCACTCTATGGGTTAATTGGTAAGATGTAAGAAAAAAATCTATCCCCGTATGGGAATTATAGAGACACAAGTAGAAGGAATATTCTCTAGTTGTGGGGTGAAAGTGTCTCCAGGTGTCACAGAGGTTTAGATCTTTCATAAAGGCCACTGTGGATCTGGCTGCTTTGATTGTTGTCACTACAGAGTCTGAGGACCTGTCTAAAACTGTGTGGCATGTCATTTCTGTCTCTACGTGGTTGCACAATTCTCCTCTGCTCTCTGCATCGCTCATGGCAGAGTTCTTCTTCAATGTGCGCACGTGCACACACATGGACACATGCAGGTGCACACACAGGTGAGCACACTCCCACCAGTCGACTGACCCCCCCCCCCCCCCCACCCCCCAAAAAGTTTCTCTCGTCTCCTTCTTAGGCCAAGTGACTGAACA